TCCGGTTCTGCAGTCCGCTGTTGGTGTGTTAGTGGGTGGTGTAGTTTACACTGAATTGTCATAGGGAGAAGGGTGTTTGAAGAGAGCTTTATCATATATTTTAAGAATAGAAAAAAAGGTATTTTTGGCCTGAATGTTCGCCTTGCTGTGAGTGATAACCCTATTATCATGATGCTTACAAAAAAGCCTGGCAAAATTATCCAAGTTGATGAAAAAATATATTTTTTTTTTGATATCATCCAATTTTTTACATCGACCTTGTTTTGTTGCCATTTTACCCACATCCCCCATATTTTTCGCCCATTTCAAATTCCAAATTTATTGTCATAACTAATCGCGCCGTTCATAATAAATAAATTTACAGACGGTGTTGCGTAACTGCGACAAGACCTTGAAAAATACTTTGAAGCACCTGCAAATACCATAATTTTATACTTACCTCATTCACAACGACAAATTATAATACACTGCCCTTGGGGAATTTAGACTTTATTTTTCGACATTATGCCCATTTTTGACACACCAATTGTAGTGTGCTCGGTAATTATACCCCGTCAATTGCTTATTAGTTTTTACAGTCCAAAATTTTGTGGCACGAAATTCGACTTGCCCGCCTTCACGTCGTTATTAATCATTAGGATGAGACAGCATCAAAAATTCTGCGAAAAAAATAAAATTGACGCTTTTCCTAGTAGCAATATTCGTAATACACCAGCAATATGTCTTCGGTTTGTCATCTGTTGAACCCTGGTGGGTGTTGGGTTTGTATCATCATCATTGTCTTCTTCGCTTTTTTCGGATTCCTTTGCAAAAACAAAATGTTTCTTTTGTGAATTGAAATTTTTTCAACATCTGGCTCGAATTTCCCCCAACTTTCCCACCGATTATGGAAAATACAAATAGAAAAACGCCAGGCACAAGGGCTAAGTAAACGCTTTTGACGAGTAATCCCAGGCCACCGTAAGCGCAGCAAGAGGCTGCGTTGAGCGCTTGGAACGGCAGTTTTTTGATTTTTGATGGAACATTTACAGTGATATCATTTTTTGAGCCATTTTTTGTATGTTGAAAATATTCGTTAGGCAGTTTTAAAATAGCAATTAATTGATGGTATAAGGTAATTGAAGACCTAAAGGTGTTTGACGTCAGTTTTGCTCGAGCTACTTAATAACAGGGTCGTAAAGATTTGGATGGGAACTTTACTTAGATTCTGATGAAAAATGGCACAAATTGGGGTTAATTTTTTGTAAGATATATGTTAGTTTCCCAGCTTGCGATTTGTAGAAACAACCGAGTCCAAATTTGGCAAAACTAAATCATAGTTTAAAAAATTTTGTCTGACAAGTTTCACACTAATTTCAGCCATAGAAAGTCATCTTTTACGATCATTTTTTCCATGAGCAACTGTCAAAGGCATGGCAAGAAAAAGTGTTAGTATCTTTGACCGAAAGTTTTATAGTCATAACCTTACCTTTCCATCGATTTTTAAACCACTTTCGATCAACTTCAATACCCACAGTCGCGTAAATTACAGTATTCCCGCCTTTTACATCACAAATCGCCCAATAGTCTTCTGCTCTTCCCTGCAAACATCCATATTTCACCCATTAGTTCTGAGAATCACAATCTCCCCCGATGATTTTTCCGTTCACTATGACGGATTACCATTGGCGAAGAAGTGTGCGGGAGAAATTTCTGAAATTCCGCCTCTACAATAAATCAAAGTGGGTGGGTAGAGAGAGGGCAAAGATTGAGAAATCTATAGAACCGCTAAGCAAAATAGGTGGGAATTGTTAATTGAGGACAATTTTTGTACTTATTAGTGATTCATCAGACTGCTGTGGCATTATTTACCATCTGCTCAATGTGGTATAAAAGGCAAGATATTCTACGTGAGTTTTTGCATTGTGTGGGTTACAGTTAAGTCTTTTATAGGGATCTTGAGAGCTTACAATAAATTGTGGTTTTAGAAAAAAGAAAAGTGTAGGAGCTGAGAATTTTTTTATATTACACTTGGGACACTAGATACCTAAGTTGCTATATTATGCGCCCTAGATTGTAAAAGGGTTCGATATCTCTTCTAGGTGGTTTTCTACACGATGTTAACATTGTTTTATCAATTTTCGACTGTTCTTTAGAACTTTTATGGCATTGAAACAGAATGCCAAATTTGGCGCAAATTTTGATTTTTCGGTTTAATTCTCCAAAAATCTGTTGTAATTCGACCTTATAAGCTCGACATTGTCATATATTTTTATTCCTCCACAGTTTTCGGAGCTTTTTTGCGCTTGCAACAGAATGCCAAGATTTTTTTGAATTGGCGGGCATTCAAAATTTCAAAATTTTTCCTGGCTAAAATGAGTTTAGTTTGCACATTTGGTATTGTTGCCAAAAACCAAGTGCAGCGCACTCTCTAACCCCCACAATTTTTCAATTTCGCCCAAAATATTCGTAATGGTGGGAAAATCCGTGCAAGTTCGCTTTTCTATTTTTTTTGTTTTCTATTGTTATTTATATAAATATTTTGAGCCCACCAGTTTCTATTTTCTAGCTTACTCTACAACAAAATCCCGGCCAAATCTGAGCACGAGGAGCGGGGAAATGTTTCCTACGTGGGGGATTACCATTTCCACGGAGATTACACAAGACAGTGGTATAACTATACTTTTTTAGAAACTAATGCTTATGAACCCTACATGAGCACTTGGCAAGACATTAATAGTACTCGGTTCTTATGGCAATGATGGGTGAACAAAGAGCGAACATCATCCGAGTACTTTGGTAATGGGTCTGGAAGTTGTTTGTTAGAGCGGGGAGTTGGAATGGCGTTCAAGAAAGGAGGGGTTTGGAGGGTTTGGTTTGGGTTTTATAGGGGTAAATTAAACATTAGCTTCGATTGTCTATTGTTTCTCATCTATATTTAGAGCTTACTGGTCCTAAATTTACCAATGGGGCATATTTTCGCCGATTTTTTGGAAAATCATCAAATTTTGGAGATTTTAAAAATTTGAGGATATATCATTGCATTTCCTAAGAAATTGCTCTAAGACTTATGTCAATCATAGCTTATTGCTAGAGCATTGTCTATCAGTCTGCCAGCAAAATAATGAGCATTCAGTCACATCGAAAATCACTTCTTTCAAGAGCGAAAAAGTTTGGCATCTTATTTCGGACCTTAGAGCGCGGGGTTCATTATAATATTTATGCATTCTGAAAGGGGAGCCTTTACTCTATATCGATGCCAATTTTCAGGTCTCTAGCTTCAACGGCTAGCGAGCAATGAACTAAAGAAGGAGGTCCATTTTGAAAGAATAGAAAAAATTTGAAGAGACCGGTTGTGTCGCAGAAGTACAGAATACCGTGCGCCACCCAAAAAATTAATTGTGTCGCGGAAAAATCAGATTGATTTGTATTTCAGCGATGAGATTGGTGCAGCAAAATTTTGCTCAATATTTTCCCGACAAACTGATAGCGCCAAGCACGCTTTGTTTTTTTTTTTGATTTTAAAGGCGCGAGTCCCTGTAACTTTCCCAATATCATCCATCCTTGAAAATTGAAAAAAAAAAGATTTTCGGAATGTAGTTTATTCCAAGTTTGCCTGCAAAATTGTAAATTCGCATACCCCGCTATCTGTTAAAATACGACAAAAAACACATAGTAACACTCACAAGCACTCGTAGACTCGAAAACCCTGGGAAAACACGTCAACTCCCTTAGCGAAGTAGAAACGAAACGTAATAATTGGGCTCGTACTATAGCCGTAGTTTTAATGGACTTTTAGAAGCTGCAATAGATTTTTAATCATTTTCTTTTGTTCTTTGATAGGGAAACGATTTTTATGTGCCATTTATGTAGTCTGGTTTTTGCTGTATCTTGTGCAGAATATGCAATTAGCAGCTTGGTAGAAGTAGTTTACTTTGACTAAAATTTGATGATTTTTATAGAGCTTCTATGTTAATTAATCTGATTGAAACTTGTACTTATTGTTACTGATTTTTTGGCTCCTTTGTGGACTAAAAAGTCACGAGAATATCTTGATTTTTCAAAAAATGCCACAAGGTATTTTCCGAATTGACCGACATTTTTAACTTTGATACCTTTTTTTCTTTCTTCAGCCATTCGTTTGAAATTTGATGACTTTTACCACGCGTAATGTCCATTTTCTTTTAACAAGGGAATGGACTTTATGTGTAAATCGATTTTGGCTTGGGACCTAGTCAGATCAAAAGGTGTGTGGTAGCCGATTATTCACTTGGGGGGAAATCTCTGCGCGGGGCTTCAATGCCGAGAAAATCGGCTTCAAAGTTTGGACGAAAATCAAAGGATAGGGATACCGGAAAAGGAGCGATAAAAAGTGTGAAGCAGTGGCCGAGTGGTCAGTGCGCTCGCCTTTTGCGCAAAAAGTTGCAGTTTCGAATCTTTCCAAGCTCAAGTCATCATTTATCGTTTTTACTTTTGCTTTCTTCGTGCTAATCCAGCTGTACATTTAAAACAGGGGTATAGATAAAAAAGTTAACATAATGGAAAGTTGTTTTTGAATACATCAGGTTGATGGTGTGCCCTGCGCTCTAAAACTGTAAAAGGAAGGTGCGAAGCCGTTGAAGATGGAAAAGTTCCTTTTAAAATATACTTCTTGCATCGATAATCGAGTTCAGTGGAAAAAAATTAATAGAAGTTTTTGTCTAAAAAAGTTATGAATGGAAGCAGATTCGAACTTGCGACCTTTTGCGCAAAAAGCGGGCGCACTGACCACTCGGCCACTGCTTAACACTTTTTATCGCTCCTTTTCCGGTATCCCTATCCTTTGACTTTCGTCCAAACTTTGAAGCCGATTTTCTCGGCATTGAAGCCCCGCGCAGAAATTTCCCCCCAAGTGAATAATCGGCTACCACACACCTTTCGTTCTGACTAGGTCCCAAGCCAAAATCGATTTACACATAAAGTCCATTCCCTTGTAAGCCAACCTTTGATTTTACCCTAGTTTATTCCAGACTTCCACAGAAATGTCGCTGCTTACGAGGCATCCCGCCAGCTCCACAACCGTTTGTCTATGTATTTTCCTTTGTATCATCGTGTTCGTCGACTGTTTTGAGGAAGCGTCGGCACGAGTTTACGTCGTCAAATCGCAGAAGAAGCCCGTCTCCAAAAAGTGCAGAGTAAGTTTTTGGCCTTCTCGCGGATTCCGCCTCCGCGAAACCCGAAACTCGCCAAGACCCTTAGGGTCTTTTCGCTAAACCTTTTTTCATATTCCGCAGCTACAGCTCCTTGGCCGGCCTGAACTATGGCTGAAATATCGCTGTTTTGCAATGTAGATGGGAGCAGGGAGTTTGAGTCAGCCACAGCGGGATTCACATTTCGGGTATAATATTCGATTGGCCCATGGCCGGAATAATTCATCGACCAAACATGGTCGAGGAATCGGGAAGAGGGCAGAGTGTTTGTAGGATATCGGAATTCCTGATGTTGGACGTAAGAGTTGTTTTTTCGTAGTAGGAAAAAAGTTGGGAGTAGTTCCGACAAAAGCAAGAATCGCGGGGGAAAGAGTATTTTTGGAAATTTGAGAGTTTACCGTAGGCAAAATATTAATGTTTCACTGAGGGGGTTTTCTACCTGTGACTGCGCTATTTTTTGCTGATTCTTGGTGTAAATTTGGTTCTAAGGATTTCTAAAGTATGCTTGGAAGTTTTCTGATGTTCTGGAAAAAAATTGATGAGGTTTTTAGCCCAATAATTGGATAAAAAGTAAAACTTTTTTGGATTTTTGCCCATGAAAAAGCATAAGCGGTAGCAGAGGATCCATTCGGGAAAACCATTTTTTCACCACGTACTCTGCAATGACATAGTTGGAAAAATTTAACAAATTTTTTGTCTCGCCACTCTCCTCAGTTTGCTGTCTCTCTGCTAGAAAAATAATTGCTTAATTTTTCCGTTGGGGGTAAAAAGGGAAGGCTTAAATTTTCAATGATTAACATATGCCCTACTTACAGTAAATTTACAAAATTTCTGTCGGGAAAACAGTGAGGGCCGTCTCGTGTCAATCGTGTCGCTGAAAAGTAATTAGATTTTTTTGCTATGCGATTTTCGAGTCTTCAGAATGCTCATTATTTTCCCGACAAGATTGATAGAAGATTTTTCCAATTTTTTCAAAAAAAGTTACAAATCAATTTCCCTAACCTTCTCCATTTCCAGGTCCATGTAAATACCCATCTACACGTGGTGATGGACCGAATCTGCATGCTGTGCCATGAAATGTTCTCGCACGAGAACCCCAACTTCCGAGCGGACTGCAGCTCCAACTGCTTCAAATCGGAGCACTTCCGGAAATGCTTGAATGTGTTCGGTCCGATGGAGGCGCCCAAGATCATCAACGAGATGGACAAATACGAGTGATTCTCCGTTCTTCGCTTTACATTGTACTATAACGTACGGGTACTTGGTGTAATATTTATTGTCTAGTCAGCTTTACAAAAACTTTCTCAGAGTTTTACTTTCTAGTATTTTTCCAATTGTTAATTTTAATTGAATAAATAATTGAATTATGAAAATGAATTATGTTTACAAAAGTTGCGTTGAAATGGAGGAAATAGTTGTTAATTTATTGATTGTACTTGGAAGTTAGTAATAAGACATTCATGCCAAAGGGTATGAGAGCAAAGCTTGACGGTTGTTCTTTTCGTAGAACGACTGTAAATAGTTTGCCAGAAACCTCTGTAAATTTACTCTAACTTATCTATGGTCCTGTTGTCGCTTTAAAAAAGTATACTCAGGAATCGCTTCGTGATACGTATTTTACCAATGGCAATCCGAGAAGCACTTTGCAAAAATACACCCTAAACACAAGGCAATGCATTGTAACGTTCAAAACACGCATTGTCTAGCGTCCTTTGGAACTTTCTTTTACCTGGCCTAACTTATCAGTCTGTCGGCAAAAGAATAAGCGCAACGTCGCGTCCAAAATCGCATAGCCGCCGAGAAAATGACTGGTGTCGTGAAAAAATCAAATTGCTTTTCACTTGAGCGGCTCTTTCTCGATAGGCTGATATTTTGTTACAAACATCTGCAAGTTTGCTGTAATTGCTTTATAGTCTTGGTTTTTTCGGAAAAGAAGCTTTAGTAAAGAATAATTGGGGCTAAGGTAGTACAGCCCCCCAGTCCAGTTTAGCCCCCCATAACCCTGTACAACCCCCCTCGTCCATTCTGAACCCCAAAATTTATTTCAAAGAATTAATTCAAGTTGTATGGTCCAGCACAAGCCCCCTACGTTTTAGATCAAGCCCCTTACGTTTTAGATCAAGCCCCCTCCGTTTTAGAAAAAGCCCCCTACGTTTTAGGTCAAGCCCCTACGTTTTAGATCAAACCCCCACTTACATTTTTTGTATTATTCTAATTTGTTCATTATGTGGGGTGTGAAACGGGCAAAACAGTGGGGGTTTGAACTTCCTTTCGTGGGGGGGCTCAACAACCGAAGCCCCGAATAATTTCCTCATTCGTATTTTAACAGTGGCAATCCGTTGAGTAGTTTATAAGATCACACAGCACAAAACGTACAAAAGACAAATTTTGATTAAATTTACTCTTGGTAACCTTACTGGATGGCGTATCAAATCTTCGAAGATTCGGGCCGGCTCTTTTCGAAATTTTTAAATCCCGTGAGTAACATGGGGGACTACTTTCCGGCCCTAAAGACTGTCAGGCCCGGCCCTTGCCACGTCTGGTAAAAGCTATACATTTCAGGCTTGCAACGAAACGTTTTTATCACTGACAGTTTTAAGGGTTACATCCAAATTTCGACAAAAAAATCTCGGTCGTTCTTTATCTGCAAAGCGCCGAGCAGGAGTCTCGCACATATCTTATCTTGTCACACACAGATCCGTCAACAATTACGCAAAGATAAAACACAACATAAAAGCCAAATTCAAATAAGAATTGAATCTTTATTGCAGCACGATTTTCTACAAGTACCTGGTATTTTACAATTTCATCGTTAAAAAAGAGGTTGTTAGACCACGTAATACCGAGTGATGAGTACCGTAAAACTTGAGTGAATTTGGAACATGGAGTATGTTGAGTATTGTACACATGAGGGACCTGCTCTGGAGTAAGTTGATAGGCTTTTTGGAGGGCTAGTTCTGGTTGGGACCTGAAATTAATTGAGTCATCTACAAGGAAATATGATATGATATGTATATATTATTGACAGGTTTCGTTGTACTGACTTTCAACTTAGAAGAGTAGCCCTTTATTACACTAAAGGGCTACTCGTTACGTACTAATTCGTATTTTACAAATTCAAATGCAAAAAACTTACGATTATTGTCCAAATAATCCTTGAGCATGGCCTGCGACACGGCGGAGTTCGAAAAGGTTCCGTAGTTGTAGACGTTGAGCAACCGTTCGAATCGACATTCTTCCACCTTTTCCATGGTTGCTGATGGCTGCACTTCCGGCAAGGTTTGCATAGAATTGGCTGAAAAAGCAAGAGATCAAACTATATATGAATAAGCTATAAGAAGAGTCAGAACAAATAATCACGAGAAAATCAAACAATTTGAACAAAAATGCTGCAGGCGATGCAAAGGTCGAATGTGTAAGAAAATGGTATAATACCGAGAAATTGCAAATTTTTTGCAGGCAATGTTTACAGAGGCACAAAATTATCTTACAGTTATCTTACGTTTGTCACAAAAAATAAATTTTTTTTTTATCATACGCAGGTTTTTTAAGGACTTTTTGTGTGTTAAATTGCTATAAAACCTCCGTACAACAAAACCTGTCAATAACATATATTTTATGCCGGAGACAAGCGCCAATTTTAGACCAAAACTACCGCAAAAAAAAGCCTGCCTACAACGAATATAGTTTGTTTTAGTAATTTGCACTTTTCAGTATGTATGTATAAGAAATGTCTAGACATAAGTTAATTACGATTTGTAAGAAACGAACATGACCATTGTTCTCTGCTAGCAATTTTGTAATACATAAATCCTTGTTTCCTTACGAGTATCGGAAATGACGTGGGAGGGTTTCTCAGTTTTTGCGAACAAACCCAATTGGTCCGAACGTTGACGTTCGAAGGGACGTGAAGGGTTTTTTGAAATGAATATCTAAAAACCTGAGGAAGGCGCTGCAAAAAAAAATAAAAAAAAATACAGTGGAAGCTCTGTACCAAGATTGAAACCTGTCTATAACGTACTCTCGTAAAATATACAGAGTCTATATGAAACCAAAATAAAATTCTATTTAACAAAGTTAAAAAGTCCTTTTATAACAAATCGATCTTTTTGCTCTTTTTTTGATTTGTTATACAGGGTTTTTACTGAATTTGTAATCAATATACGTATAGTAGGCCTAGAAGTCAAATAAGGAAATATATTTTTTATATAAAAATAGAGCTTTATCTTCGCCTCAAGTAAACAAAACTACATGCAAATGATCCTATGAAACCAATTGCAGGGCACCAAAAATTTGTTCGTTATATTATAGAAGGGCTTTGTTGTACGGAAGTTCGATTGGACACGAAGATCAACTTTGGGGCCTTAAAATTGTTTGCTACATACAGGTTGTGTTATATGCGACCTGCTGCAAACTGTACCAGATCTTACCCTAGATTGTTGAAATAATATTTTGACCCCGTATTTCAGTACAAGAACTCGAAAGAAGAAGGAAAAATTGAGAAATTTTCATAAACCCCTCGAAGAATGGAGGCCAAGAGTTCCCATTCTCTTCGGACTTTTGGTCCTCCAATATGTTTCCCATTTTTTTCGAATTCCCAAAAGAAAAAAAATAAAAAACCCTTGGCCCACAAGAATAATTCGTTCGCAAAATAAACGCAAAAAACAATAAAAGGAGTCTCTTCGAATCGCGCAAACATATGATCTGCAAATTTCACGTGACATATGGCGAAATTTCTGACCGCAACGAATACAGTAAGAAGTTCCGTATGTTTGGAAAACATTCGGAGAAAATCGGGCAAAAAAGCGATTTTTTTGGGACGATCTGAAAAATAGCCAAAAGATGAGAGCAAATATGTACTATAGTAATTTGACATCATTGTTATCAGTTTTTCAGCATTCGAAGTGACAAATGAAGCTCCTTGACGTTTAAAAAATATGTAGACGTACAGTAGAAACGGCCAGACCAATTTTAGGCCACAGCTGGCCATTGCGCCTCTAAACCTTCCGATACCGACTAATTTTTTTGTTTTCTTGCAAGTTGCTTTCACGGCCGAACAAGTATGATCAAAATACGAAGGAAAGTTTCATGAAAAAATTCGCAAAAAATAGCGCATATCTCTAACAGTTTTGCCGAAAAATCTTGGTCGTTTCTGCTAAGCGCAAGCTAGAAATCTCCCGTATGCGCTAGAAGAAACACTGTATTCTAAATTTGTGCCAAGTTTCCGCAAAAGCTGAGCGGCGCACTTGGAGCACTTGGAGTGCTTCTACTGTAAACAAATTGAAGAAAAATGTTTCTTTGAACTGCGCAATGAAGTGGAAGGCCGTGCAAATCGTGGCCAAAAGAAAATATAGAAAGTTGAGAAACAAAAGGCAATGCTAAGCAGCTTAGAGATACGCGAAACGTTGCAGACAGGCAATTTGAAATCAAACAAAGAGGAATTCAACAACATTTTTTTGCTCTTATGATTTGTTTTTGGCACTTTTACAATTTTTTTTCTGACGGTTTTTTGACAATAGAAACTACTGTCCATCAATTCAATAACAATGTTAATTTTCGAGTTTTTTTAATGATTAAAATCCAAAAAAACAATTAAATAACGTCAAATGACGTTGCCTCCTCTGTCTGACCTTTTCCACCCCAAAAGAATTAATTTTCATATCATTGTCCATTCGAAACCAATTTGAAAATGCACTCTTGTCCTCATATCGATCGGCCTACATACGCAGACGTTATTGATCGCAGCCCACGGAGGACGAGAAAAAAGAAAAAGAGGAGGAAAATCTTTGGGCTTGACGGGCCTGATCTTCTCCCCTCTCGGCCGCCAACTGACTCATGAATGTGTTTACAATCAGCCAAACAGTTGGCCCGTTCAGCTGATTACAACATGAGAAAAATGTTGGGGACGTCAGACGGAACGCCCGGACGGAAGTCTTGGCCATGGGTAAATAGATAAGGATAGACGGAAAAACAAAAGAATTTGTCTGGGAATTGAGGAAGTTTAGAGGGGAAAATACGGAAATAAAGGGTAAAACACGCAAAAATATATGTAGTATTGTGAACTAATAATTTACTTTTTTTCGACGGTTGTGAATAGGCATGGCTCTCGAGCCCGACCGGGGTAAAAATGCCCGGCCTGCGGGCTAAAACAGGTCAGTCCCGGCTCCATTTCAAATTTTCTTCGGCGCGAGAGCCATGTTTATTCGAACTTATAGGCCAAATCTACACTTGCCATAAAAAATTTCCCATAAAAAATTTAAAAACCAAAAATATACAAACACTTTGAAAGACATGATGTAAAATGCGACGCCTGCTGTAATCAGGAAAGAAATGATTACCATCTTGTAGCCAACAAAAATACTGAGCCCTTTATACATAAAAAAATTATTTGTTAGCATCATCTGTGCTCAAAGCAAAATTCCTCATTACACCCATTCTAGAACCGGAAGGAGGTGGAACAAATACATAATAATTACGGACAAGACCCAGGTAATTACACGTAAGCACGCAATTTACCCCTGCAAACTAGCAGGAAATATGGGAGACGGAAAGGGGGTGTAAACGGAACTTTTTAAACGGAAATTTGTGAGTCATCAAAAAATGCGGATTTTTTTTGTTTTGTTTTATTTTTTGGCAGAGCTCCGGTATTTTTTGCAGAAGAAGTGTGAAGAATTGGCATACCATTTCTCCATTTCTCATAAACTCAGCAATGTCTACGCAAAACGTCAGGTTGTTCCGAGTTAATTTCGAAGAGCATACAATCAAATGCCTACAATAAGTCGCAAAATACCAAAAAATTTATTCACAAAAATGGCTTTGCGTTATGGATATTTAATTTGGCTTCAAGACAGCCCATGAAACGTCTGACTTTGTTCGTCTTAACGAGACTTTGTTGTAACAGAGGTTTCACTGTATTTGAAAGCGCTTTTCCGACCTGGCGTCTCTTTTTTCCCTGTTCACTCTAACCGAAACAGCTTATTAAATATCTCGGTTGCTTACCCAAAATTGAGCCAAAGCTATCCGAAATAATAAATATTATACCTTGCCGTGGCTATCATCAACATAACAAATTATGGAAAATCCGTGCGTGGGACCTCTCGAGGAATAAAAGTTCCAAAGCCATTGCCTCAAAAATAAACAGCCCTTCCAGGCCGACCCACTGACTAATAGTCGTAAGAATTTTTTCGTAAAGTTTAGCCTCTCTTTTTCTTCCCATATGACCGCGAATAACAATAAGTTCGAGCGAAAAATTGCCGATTCTTTTTGTTTCAACCCACGCTAAGCCCAAACAATCATCTTTATACACATATTGAATCAACATTACGACAAGATGATGGGCCAGATAAAAAAACTAGAAATGCAGATAAGCAATGTACTTTTAACTTGGAAAACAACTCCTATTCTACGGTTGTTATGACGGATCTGACTACAATAGGGTCTATTTGGCTTTTTCATCCGAAAAAAAACTATTGTTTTTTAGATCGTAACGCGTTTAAAAGTGCATACTACTGTAGATTGATGGGGGACGTCAAAAAAAATTCGTTCAGAAAACTGAAAAAAAGGAATCTCGGATCATTGATTTTTTGCGAAGTGCCACAGAATTAACGAGTCCGAAAGATTATTTTTGTCTTCGAATAAACATTTTTTTTCGAAAAAAATCTTTTTCTCTAGGAAAGTTTTCGTTTGTGACTTGATAATTCGACGACATTACGCCAAAGATCAATATTCCGAGATCCCTTGTTTTTTCTCTTTTTTTGAAACGCGACGCCTTTTTAAGCATTGTCTCTCTCGTTGCTGCACTTAGAGGCAGGAATAATGCCTACCAGTTTGTCCAGAAACTCACTGAAACGATTGCGTAAGGTCGGAAAGTACGGTAGGCAATGAAAATTTTAAAAAAATAGGATTGACAATTTCTAGCATTTTATTAATAAGACATATCTCATCTTACGTTAGGATTTGCGAAGAGCCATAACTTTATTGTTGTTTCTTACCTTCGTTCCTAATAAATTGCCTCAGAACCAATCCCAATTCCCACTTACCCCCTCAAACCCCTATCAATATTCCCTCAGGCTCATTTATTTTAACAAGCCCGTATATTGCCGCCATTGACGTGTAAATAGGCGTGTAATATATCATAAAGGCATTCCAAAAAGCGATAAACCGTCGTAACCCTACGCATTCATAAAGCAAATAAAAAATCTTCACTTTTTCGTCAACGAAATTCGTCGACATTTCGCGAAATTCCAACGTGCGATTGTTCAGCTCGCGGGTAGAAGATATATGAAAACTGATGGATCTACGAACATTTATCAAAACAAACCGTGGAATGTTGGAGGTACTATGATTTCAGAGAATCACCAGCTGACATGGGCTTTGACGGCCTTTAAAGTTCAAGAAAAATGACGTAGGAGTTTGCTAACAAGGGAATTATCTGAGCTTTTTTCCAGCGCTCGAGAAAGTGACTATTTCAAGTGGATAGAGCAGGTCAACGTTGGTAAAAAGAGTTATTTTCCAGCTGCAAAAGAAGCCCAGCCGACAAGAAAAACGACCGAAATTTCCACAAAATTTCATCTTTCTCTTTCCTCGGAACAGAAGTGCAGCGTCCAGTAAGGTCATTTTAAGGGTGAACTTAAAGGACGATATCAAAGATCGAATCAAGAAGCAGCTTTAACCAAGAAAAATGATTATCTCATTCGTCATCCGCTGCAAGTTTCTCGGGGATAACAACCTTTAAAGAACGGGGATCCCTTTGGTGATGCTTTAGCCATCCTTTCCTTCTGACGAAACATACTTATCTTCTTTTTCGTCACTAATTCATTATTACAAGTTTTTAATGCATTCTTACAAGTTTTTTGGCAAGTCTCTGCCACGCCTCTTCCTGACCTTCGGCAGCTTTAGCAAGGCTCTTTCCACGAGCCTTGAAGCATTAGAAAGCGTGGTGATGAATGAGGTATCAATCGATGGACCACAGAGCCGACACGGACTGTTACTGACAAATGTTGTCAGAATGATAATCAAATTTAAACGATTTGCACTTTACAGGGTCAGCTTGCGTTAACAATTTCGCATTTTTTATTAATTATAGATGACCTTCGTAAATTGGACTTCCCAAGGTGTCCTTTTATTAGACTTCTCTGATTTATTAGCAAATTGTCAGTCCGTCGGGGAAATAATGTGGATTTATCACATCTTGGGTCGTCCATCATCGCCTTGCGACAGCTAGCCGCGGTTGGAGCTTTGGTGTACGATTGCGATGGAATGAGACATTCTGCTGTGACAAATCCACATTATTTTCCCAAAGACTAATATTACTGTTTTGATAGACCCTTGTCAAATTTATCCATTTTATTTCCCGGATCCTATGTCAAATTTATCCACATCATTTCCCGAAAAGATGAGAGTTCAATGGCGCAAGCAAACAATGTAAAATTTCAAATCAGTAAGATAAACAATCAACTTGAGTTCTTTGCTGATATCAGAGTCTTAGTGCTGCACTGCGCCACTTCGATCGGTTGACATTTTATCCACCTCCAAAACGACTGATTAATCAAAAGTTGCACGATCCTAAATGGAAGCTAACTGGTTATATGCAAAAAGATGGACTTACGCAAAGGATTGTATAACAATTAACTCCGCAATGCAATTTAAGACATAGCTAAGTATGGCGATTGTCCCGATTGTCCGTTTTTCGTTTATCGTCCAATCAGTTTCCATTATTGCAACGACTTGAATCGAAAGTAGAACTGGCGTTGTCACGCTGATGATGAGAAGTTTCCATTCAGCACTTCGGCGATGCGACTTTACCGGCTCGGAGATGTGGGCAAGCTTGCTTTGTTCCTACAAATTTCTTATAGGTGGCACTGTTTGTCAAATTTGGCAAGAAAAGGTTCGTCAAAAAAAACGACAATACAAGTACACTTTGTCTGCATGAAACACGGCACAATACGGTCAAAACGTCTCGCAAATTTCGTTCCATATCTCGGCTAGGCATGGCTCCGGGCCGGGCTTTCCAAAATTTTCCGGCCCGGGCCGGGCTGACTAATTTTGTGGCGACTTAGTAATTTATAAAAATAGTCAAGCGGCAATTGCACTATGTATAGGTTTTGCTAAATTATTCTTTACATTTTGCGAAAACGTGCCGTAACTTTCCCTTCATTTCCTGCTTTGTTTCTTTCCAGCCTAGTACAAAATTTTTCCGGGCCGAACCAGGCCGGGCTTTCCAAATTTTCCAAGCCCAGGCCGGGCTGGCCCGGTTTGCAGCCATGCTTAATCTCGGCTGCGCCTCAAAATTCCAGATAAAACTTTAAGGAATTGCTATGTGGCCTATCGTTAGCTTGTGGAGAAAATTTAAAGAAGCTTTGGTCATCGCACTTGGTACCGCATTCTTATACTCCCCGTACAATGTTTTGACCCCCCTCCTAACTCCGTCCAAAGTGTACTAATTCGGACCAAATTTGGTATGTAGTATACTCACAGTCTAGTAACAAAAAATAACATAGCAGGACATACCTTATAGTTGAATTTTAAAAGCTAGGGGCAATTTTCAAAAATCACCTTAAAAAATCGAGGAAAAAGTTTTGACCCCCTTAAAAAAAGTTAGATATCGCCAGCGGATGCCACGCAAACTTATTGTAATCGACGTCCCATACCTGAATACAGGTTAATATATGGTTTTCCGTTGAATGCTTCGTTGCATTTGAGGATTCAACGCGTTAAACCGTTTTTGATGTAGAGCTGCCCAAAATTGTAAAAATCTTGCCCTAGCGCTTTCCTAGAGCTCTAAATTGGGTTTATATTATGTGCTTTAGACCTGTATTTACCTTCTCCTTTCAATAAAAGTGCATGGTGGCCTGGCGGTGTAGATTCGGCAGATACCCTCTTGTCATGCTCAGCCTTGGTGAGCCATTTGCTCTTTGACTCAAGGTCGAGATGTGGTCATTAGGTCCTCAATGTAATCCTGAGACTCCTAGTTACTCTCAGCAATGTAAAATGTTTTGATTTGACACGTTTTGTAATGGGTTTCATTCACCTTAATCTTAACTTTGCCATTACTGTAGATGACCCCGAGTACGATGACATCACCACCTCCCATTTGGCGTTTCATACGTCTCAAATGAGTATGGTAAGTGCTGTAGCGTCTTAAATTTCCTGGTCCATCAAATGAAAGCTGTCTTTGGTGGCTAAAAATCCATTTGAAAAACGCGGGTTTTTCGTTAAGGTGCAGATCGGCGAAGTTGCGCCTGCAAACCATATGAGACCGTGTCAGCCGGAGTTTATTTTTTCTTTGAGAGTAACTAGGAGTCTCAGGATTACATTGAGGATCTAATAACCACATCTCGACCTTGAGTCAAAGAGCAAATAGCTCACCAAGGCTGGGCATGACAAGAGGGTATCTGCCGAATCTACACCGTCAGGCCACCACGCACTTTTATCGAAAGGAGAAGGTTAACACAGGTCTAAATCACATAATATAAACCCGATTTAGAGCTCTAGGAAAACGCTAGGGCAAGATTTGTACTATTTTGGGCACCTCTACATCAAAAACGGTTTAACGCGTTGAATCCTCAAATGCAACGAAGCATTCAACGGAAAACCATATATTAACCTGTATTCAGGTATGGGACGTCGATTACAATAAGTTTGCGTGGCATCCGCTGGCGATATCTAACTTTTTTTTAAGGGGGGTCAAAACTTTTTCCTCGATTTTTTAAGGTGATTTTTGAAAATTGCCCCCAGATTTTGATATTCAACTATAAGGTAGGTCCAGCCATGTTATTTTTTGTTACTAGCCTGTGAGTATACTACATACCAAATTTGGTCCGAATTAGTACACTTTGGACGGAGTTAGGAGGGGGGTCAAAACATTGTACGGGGAGTATATTTCCAGTCCGTTCGCAGAGCCGTTGGAATGATTTCGTCGACCAGCACGTCAAAAATAATACCTTCCGGGTGCTTTACGAACTGACGGGAACCCATGTTTTGACTCACTCGATTCAGTAATCTCAATTTGACAACGGTCACCAATGCCACCACGAGGCATATGCCCACAACAATCCAAAAGTGAGTAATCAGCAGAGGGTACAAAAATTTTGGCGTGTCGCAATCTTTGCCAAGATCGTCCATTGGAGCCCCCAAGAAAACGAAGAACGATGGAGAGTACTCAGCGACGCACTGAATGTACAGCGATTCCACAGCTGAAAAATATTCAATTTTATAGAGTAATCTCTGCTCTAGAATTACCAACTGTTAGAAACAACGTACCGACTCTGTTGAAGACGATAAATACGGTAATCAGCGCCCCGATGACAATGTACTGCTTCCGATATATTCGTTGGAAGAGAAACCCGTAGAAAACCCCAAAAAATCTCGCCAGAATAATGTGAACCTGTGCATAGAGCGACAAATGAAAGGATGACACAACAACAAAGTACAAAGCAATGTCAATACCCATGTAAGCTCGTGGCAAACACCAGGGATCTTGATCCTCCGTACGACTGGACTCGGCCGCAAAGGACCAAGGCAACCACCAGAAAGTCCAGACCAATGCCGTTGGAATATCCAGCGCAATTTTCAGAACCGTTAAAGCTGCGTTAAAATTCCTTAGCGGAGATGTCCTGCACAGAAACCATATAGCAAATACATTTACAGCAATTGATTCGAGTCCAAGGACAAATCCAACAACAGATAAAACTCGACGCAGCTCCGGAATATCATCAACGAAATCGGTCGAATCGGAGGAACTTGAAGCCATTTGAGTGTTCAAATTGAGGAGTTTGATTGGAGTCCAAAGGGCTTGAAGGGAGGTTGAACAAAAGTGGAGAACAGGGAACAATCACTCGGCATTTAGAAGGAAAAGAAGAACACAAGGAGAAACTGACATAAATACGGAACATACACACATTTAAGGACATCAGGAACAATTCCGCTATATAGAAATCTCGGTGATTTATTAGTAAAATATGCTTACATTAGGCTAAACTTAGGGACTTATAAATCTTTGTGTCTCCAGAAAATGTGTCACGATGACACTGAGTTAAAATGCATCAGTGGCTGGAAGCATACTCCCTGAAGCACGTCAGGGAAATGGGAATTTACTGGCACTGTAAACGTTGTCGACGCAGAAAAATGAAGCAAAATTCAAAAAATACGTCATTAAAACCGCGCTTTGCTAAAGTTTTGAGCCTAAATTTTTTTGAGGATACTCTACGAAGAACTCCTAGCCATGTACAGCCGTTGTTTATACCACTGGAAAATTTCAAAGGTTTGTCATCGTGACACATTTTCTGGACACACAAAGATTTGTTTATAAGTCCCGAGGCAGTAATTGTACACACAGGGTAGATACGTTCCGTACCAAATCTGTAGAGCTTTTTTTTGGTAGGCTCAGGGGCACCAAGATATAAACATAAGATTAGAATGTCGTTTTTGTCGAAGGCACACCTCGTAAACTGTTGATATCGCATGATGCCTGCTGACATTGCAGGAACTTCCAGAAGGATCGATTTATAAGCAGCAGGACTATTCTAAAAAGTATGCACTGCCGTGCTCAAATCGCCATCACCTACGCAAACGACTGTACAGTAATCAGTTCGAATACCCAATTGAATACGAAAAGAACGATCATTCCAGGAGGAAATGAAAACAGGAGATATGAAGTTGCAGCCACGATCGCCTGGACCGACATAATGAGTGGTGTGGAAATGCTGACCACAAGCAGTTTCCACTCGGCTTGGCGTCGCCTGCGTTTCACTTTTTTGTGAATTCCAGGGCCTTTATGATGGACCTGAAAATAAGATAATAATTTGTCCCCGGTTGTAAGATTTTCTTTGTCGTAGAGGTAGTAAAGGACATACGTTATTTACCATGTGCAATTTGATCATGGTCACAAGAGCTAAGACGACACAGGCCAAAATCAAGCACCAAAAATGGACCAAGGAAATGATGTAAGATGTGTTGTGGGCTTGATTATCAATGGTGCCGTCGAAAGGCACATAATGGAACCCAAAGGTAAGTGGATCAAAATGGACCGATCTTCTCAAATAGAGGCTTCCAATCGCTGAAATCAGAGGGTATCTTATCTGTAAAGGAATCTGACAATGAAATGGCAATGCCCGAGGGATAAACACTGCTTGTTATGTAGAGGCTTTGTTGTAGAGAGGTCTATTTCGGTCTGAAATTGACTTGTGAGACCTTTATAATAGTTCCTTAAAGTTCTTTCATTTTTCGCTGCATTGGCGTCTGTCGTACCGAGGTTTTGCCGTATCATTAGTGAAAACGCTATTGCAAATCTTACCATGCTGATTTAATGCCATAATACCCGCCACAACCAACATAAGGACAACATATCTCGATCGAAACACTTGATCAAAGTAGAACGTATAAAACACACCAACAAATCGCGTAATCACAATGAGCAATTGCGTGTTCAACGCAAAATTACTGGAGGTAAAAGCCACAGAAGTCGAAACGGCACTTGTACTGTTGAGAATGGCTGAGCGGTTTGCTATGCTTGTCGATAGATCAAAGTAACTCATCGGAATCCAAAAGAACGTCATGATGAGCACGTTAGGCAGATCCGACAGCATTTTGATTATAACCAGCTTCGTATGAACATTTTTGCAATTAGAAGTGTGATAGTAAAACCATATAGCGAACATGTTGACTAGAATAGTCTCAATGCCAAGGAAAAATCCGATTATAGCCAAGATTTTACGGATCTTGAGAGAGTCATCATTTTCCATTGGAATAAATTATTTACAAGAATTTTGGAAAGAACATGTTCAAGAACGAAAAAGAAGACAATTAAAATTTGAATTTAAAGGGCAAGGAGATGAGGAACACCCTTGATATTTCGAGTAGCTGAGTGAGTTTACATGACGTGTTGTTTGGATACTCGGCTTTTGACAACCCCAATCTCTCACAAATTTAGTGCAAAATCTGCATAAAAATTTAATTTTTGCTCATTTAGGGCTCATTTTTATTCTTGGGGTGAGGTTGTGTGGCGGCTCTCTGGGAGCTCTGAAAATTCGAAATTCTCATGATTCCAAACTTCGATTATGCAAATTTCAAAAAAAGTTCAAAACCTTGAGAAATTTGGATGTTCAGAGCTCTCGGCGAGCAATCAACCAACCTTCCTCGTGAATGAAAATGCCGCCGAATGAGCGAAAATTCCATTTTCATGCAAATTTTGCACTAAATGCATGAGAAATTGAAGTTGTCCATGGAATTTCGACAAAAAAATTTCAAAAAATGCTTCTCAAACCTTGGGAAAAATGTTTTTCCCAAACTTTACTTCCGCTTTTCCCTCGCATTTCTCCTCATTCCTCTGTTAAAATGACCTCGAAGTCGGTCGAACCCGAAGAGTCGGCTCCGCTGCTGGGCCCAAAGAAAGCCGATGAAGTGAAGAGTATCTTTTATCTGGCGCCGAGTCAAACTCAAGCCTCCGAGGAAGGTCTACACTCCTATACGGGCGAGAACGATGATGAGACCAAGCCGAAGTCGTATTTTAACGCCGAAAGTGCGCCGAACAGTATTCGGTCCGGAGCGGAGGACAGTGAGGAGGCAAACCAGGTCAGACGGAGAGGAAGGAAGGATAAGGAGGGTGAGGAGCTGTGAAGTTGGGATTTTTGGGGATTTTTGACCGATTTTTGAAAAGCTCGGGCGCAGCTTGAAAAATAAGACGGCCAAAAAGAATGGTTGATTAGCCATATCATCAGTAGTAAAAAACTCTGTTCTGGGGCCAATGCGCTGTCTGAAGGTTTGCTGAAGGTTAGCTGAAAATTGCAGGGCGCAGCTCGGAAAAAAGTTTTCGCAGCTTGCCGGAGCTAACAGGGGAAGTACTTCAAGTGTGACGCTCAGATTTTCTTTAAATTTTGCACACACATCGGGTATGGACTAAATATCAATTCCTGAAAGTTTTAGCTCGCGCTTTGCGGGCGCCGCCGAGATATTGAACGATTTTTGCCGCCGAGAGAGCACGCTCAACGTGGAGAGCGGTCAGAGAGAAAACCGCTTTTTGGCCATAACTTTGGCAGTTTCGTGCGGAAAAATTTGATTTTTTGTAGAAACATTATTCTTTACGGTTGAAATAGGCATGAAACTTTTCGTGCCGAAATTCGGCAAAAAGTCCCAAATTTTCGCCGACTTTCGATCTAAAAATCTCGGTTGTTTCTGCAAAGCGCGAGCTAGGATTCCCGCATATATCTTAGAAAAAATTATTCTAAATTTGTGCCAAGTTTCATCAAAATCTGAGCGTCACACTTCAAGTACTTCCCTTGTACTTGAAGTAAGTTTTCAGTCTGTTTTCGAGCTGCGCCCAAGATGCAAGCTGCGCCCGTGCAATTTCTCCGAGCTGCGCCCTATGATTTTCAGCAAACTTTCAGATAGCGCATTGGCCCCTGGCCACTCAAAAGAATTATTTTTTCAAGCTGCGCCCAAGCCTTAATCTTACGTTTTTTTGATAACCTTGTAGTAGGTTTTTTTTTTTGATAACCTTATAGTTGGTTAATGCCACACCAGCAAACAAATATCTTTTTCAAATTATTTTTCATATTATAACTTGTATAAATCATCTTGCAATGTCAGTTTTGCAGAAATCAAAACCGGCAAAGAGCCATCTCCCGCAACTGACACCGCCGTCGAGCTCGACTCGATCTCTTTCTCCGTGATGCCTAGTAAGTTATCGAACCTTAGTTTTGAAGCAGAAATCATCGCTAAAATGGCCATCCTTTCCAGCCCAAACAATGCCAAGTCAAAACCGCGACTCGCACAGTTCGAGTCACTCGTTTCGAATCGAGGTCTTCCGAAAGCTGCGACGCTTCCCTCCGGGCGCTCATGTAATCCTACTCGCCGAATTCTGCCACAGTTTCACATCGTATGCGCTGAGGATCATCCTGTACTACTATTTGATCCAAAAATTAATGTTGTCCGAGGATGACGCCATTTTTTATACCCAAGTTTATCTTTTTTTCACACATGTTTTCCCGATTATTGGATGTGTTTTGGCCGATGGATTCTTTGGACTTTATAAGTGAGTAAAATACGTTCTCTGTCAAAGAAAATACATTTCTTGTGGCAAAAAACGTACCATTTTGCATCCGGGAAGCATCAAAAATATGGCAAAATGCTTCCCTCTCCAAGTGAGAAAACTTCGTTTTGAAGGTCTTTTGAAATCGGAGTTTTTTACACTTGGAGAGGGAAGCATTTTGCCACATTTTGGATACTTCCCGGATGCAAAATGGTACGTTTTTTGCCACTGGATGAGGTCCCACACTGTAGATGATTCAGCACCAAAACAAAGGTATCTTTACGTCGTTTCAGGACCATAATCTACCTCATCCTGATATACGGGATTGGCCAAGTTTTTATGATCGTTTCCTCTTGCTTTGAACCAGAACAGGCATATGCCCATCCATGGTTGGACCTACTTGGACTGCTTTTGATCTCAGTTGGCACTGGCGCCCTTAGACCCTGTATGGCGGCCTTTGGAGGGGACCAATTTGAAAAAACGGACGTCAAATTGCGTTCAATGTTCTTCGCCTTGCTCTACACGTCGTTCAATTTGGGCTGCATCCTTGCAGGCGCAACCACACCACTGATGAGGGGTAAGAGCGATTTTTCAACCGTTGCAGCCCATTTTTAACCTCAAAAAGATCATAACAAGGTCTATTTAGACTTCTCATGCCTCTCCGAGCGCTCCTGCTACCCGTTTCCATTCAGCGTCTCGACTTTGGTGCTTTTCATGATGATGTTTGTTCTAATTGTGGGCTACAAATGCCTCCGAAGTGTGCATGAAGTCAAGGAGAATATTTATGCGTCAGTTGCGAAAACGATTTGGGTAAGAGGGTAAAATACGCATGGAGGAGGTTTTCCATTGGATACTGGAACTTTTGATGACAAAAAGTATAAGACTTGCTCTTCAGACCGCTCTCAAAAACAAGAGGAAGTATCACGACAAAGAGGTGGGCTGTTGGCTGGACCACGCCTTGGATGACCATGAATGCGACAGTCCTGCGTGTAGAAAAGTAAGGATTCATACAGTAGAGGACATGATCCAGTTGCAAAAAACGTACTATTTTTCATACGGGAATCATCAAAAATGTGGCAAAATGCTTCCCTCTCCAAGTTAAAAAAACTCCGATTTCAAAAGCGCGCCCGCTCTGTTTGTAAGGGAAATGGCGCGTCCTTCAAACCGAAGTTGTCCTCACTTGTAGAGGAAAGCATTTTGCCACATTTTTGATGCTTCCCGGATGCAAAATGGTACGTTTTTTGCCACTGGATCAGGTCCCTCACTGTAGACTATGAGTTAGGCTAGCCGAAACAACTTTTCATAGGGTTTGAGTCACCGTAAATTACCTCAAACAACGATGAGTAAATTTGCGAAAACGCGGACTATAAGTCTCTTCTATTCTTCATACTTTTCTTTTCTCTTCAGGTGACACTCATCAACGATATTCGCACCTTAGGAAAGATTCTCGTAATTTTCTTGCCCATCCCCATCTTCTGGACCCTTTTTGATCAGCAATACAACAATTTCTACAGACAAGGAAATGAGATGGATCTGAGCTTGGGAAATAATTTGTACATCCTGCCCGACCAAATGCCGGCGTTTAATATGCTACTTGTGGTCATCTTACTGCCAGTTTTTCACTTTGTCATCTACCCGTTGTGCCGGCTTTGCTGCAAACCCACGTGAGTTTACATGTTTGGCGAGGGTGTGTTCTTATTCTTCGACATCTAATAGATGCCTTTAGAGTTGATTACACTCTACAAGATTTTGCTAGACAACTCTTTTACTGGGCCAGAATTGAGGGTGGGCCAGATGGACTTGAAGAAGTTATTTTGAACATAACTTTGGGAATAAAGGGCCAAAACTCAAATGATTTGTATTTGGATTCACAGAGCACCGCGATCTTTTTGTTGTATATCTGTTTGTTGCTCAAAGCCTCCAGGAGCTCTGCTAACATCATTTATTCGATTTTGTCCCAGAAAATCATCAAAATGATGTCATCAGACATTAGAAGGTTCTTTGAGTCACAACAAGGTACATGACAAAAAAGGAATGACTTGTGGATCAAAAATTTCAATTCATTTGAATTTTGACCCTTTATTCCCAAAGTTATGGTCAAAATAACTTCATCAAGTCCATCTGGCGCACCCTCAATTTTGGCCCAGTAAAAGAGTTGCCTAGCAAAAGCTTGTTGAGTGTAATCAACTCTAAAAGCATCTATTAAATGTCACAGAATAAGATTCGTCCAGAAACGCCCAAAATTTTTCAGGTATCTCCGAAAAATGAGCGCTGGAATGCTGATGGCGTCACTCTCCTTTCTGATGATGTGCGTAATTCAAATTCACTTGGATGTAAGCCTATTCTAACAAAATTCGTTCGAATCACATCCATGAAAACTAATAGTTGGTGATTTCTCAGAGCAGGAACCCGTTTGACTACTCCGGAAAAGCACAACTCGCCGTCAAGAACATGCTGACTGTTCCGGTCGACATCTCGTACAACAATGGCTCGCAACAGACTACCACATCCGACACGTTGGTCAAGGGACTTGATGCGTTGCAGGTTCGTTTCTTGCCGAAATCAGTCCCTTGGATGACCCGGCAATTGACATCCGGGTCATCCAAATGACTAGTCAAAGCGCTGATACAGCCGATTCAACGCGTTGACAAGCCATTTTGATGTTGCGACGATCAATTAAAACCTTAAGTTAGCTAACTATTTATTTACTTATTCCCCCCTATTTTCAGTTCAAAAACGACGTGGATGACGTTGAAATCAATGCCGGCAGATTCAACATTTTTTACGAAAAACGGCCTATTGCGCGCGCGAGGCGAAGTCCCAGGCCCGAAAGAAAGGACAAGACCTTCACCTTTGAGGACATGAAACACTACCTTATTGTCACACTGGAGGAAGGGATTTCGATTGTGCAAACGGAGGTGGAGAAACCGAACAGTGGGCAGGCGGAGTCATTTCAGAGGTGAGTTTAGAGGCCAACTTGTACTACTACAGTGGCGGGCCTGATCCAGTGGCAAAAAACATACCATTTTGCATCCCTGAAGTATCAAAAATATGGCAAAATGCTTCCCTTTCCAAGTGAACAAACCCCGGTTTCGAAAGCGTACCCACTCTTTTTGTGAGGAAAAGGGCGCGGCCTTTAAAACGAAGTTTTTTCACTTGGAGAGGGAAGCATTTTGACACATTTTTGATACTTCCTGGATGCAAAATGGTACTTTTTTTGCCGCTGGATCAAGTCCCTCACTGTACTTGCCAAGGAGATTGCTCGAAATTCGATGACCTGATTTTTATGACACTAGGTTTGGCATAGAGTTCGCCGAAAAAAGTCATATTGTACAGGGTGTCCAAAGAAATTCATTTTAGCCTGTGTGGAAAATAATGTGGATTTGTCGCAGCAAAATATCAAGCATCGTAGCAAACGCGCACCAAATCTCCAGCCGCGGCTGCCGTCGCAAAACGATGATCATTCCAAGGCACCACGAATCCACATTATTTTCCCGACAGACTGGCAACCCTTCAATATCTAACACCACACCTTTTTCAGCATTCTCTTCATCGCAAACGACACAATAACCCTTCCCAAGATCATGTTTTGCCGCAACAATAACTGTGACCCTTCAAGTGTCAAGAACTTTGCCGTTTTCACCAAGGACGACATTGTTCGGCGGGATTGCTGCAAAAGAGACACCTTAGTCAGTTTGACAAAGGTGAAGAACCTGCTGCACGGCTCATGGTGCGTCTACACGGAAGACGATTTAAACTTGAAGCAGAAAGGATTCTGCTTCAATCGTGACTCGGTGGGAGGAGTTCACATACTAATTGCACAGGTAGGCGGGATTTTTAGAGTTAAAAAAAAAGGAAAACTCCTTCAGGATGGGTCAGACCGACCTGGGAGGTTTGATTGGCCAATACAGTGAAGGGCCCGATCAAGTGACAAAAAACGTACCATTTTGTATCCGGGAGGCATCAAAAATGTGGCAAAATGCTTCCCTTTCCAAATGAAAAAACTTAGTCCTTTCCCTCACAAAAAAGAGAGCTTTGGAAATCGGAGTTTTTCACTTGGAGAAGGAAGCATTTTGCCATATTTTTGATATTTCCCGGATGCAAAATGGTACGTTTTTTGCCACTGGATTAGGTCCTCCACTGTAACTTGGCGAATGACGGATGTAAATTGCAATAAATTTTTTGTGGCCTACTTGAAGTTTCTGGGGTGTAATTTTTGTCTCATACACCCGCATCTCATCTTTAAAATCAAAATAAAAAATTGTAAACACCCGGAGGCCACGATACTAATAATATTAATAAATAGGTGGATGCCAAAAACATAAATGCCCAGAGGTCAAAAAAATTTTTTTTATATTAAAATTGATCCACTACTTCCCAGTTATTAACAAAATAAAATAAAACCTCTCTGGTCCGCCGTATTTTTTCAAAACAGCAAAAGACGCAAAAACCATCAATTTTCACGTTTCAGATCTTCGACAACTCGACTATGCAATTCTCCATGGAATGTTTGGTCCCCGACAATAGAGTCCACATCCTCTGGCAAGTCATCCCTTACACCCTGCTGACAATCGGCGAGATCTTATTCGTAGTCACTGGGATGGAATTTTCGTACGCCGAAGCGGCGCCAGCAATGAAATCACTTGTTCAGGTACTCTTTTTTGCATTCGCCACTATTTTTTCAATTGCGAATTTTTTAGGACAATTTTTGAAAAAATCGAAAAATTTTTAAAATTTCAGGCAATTTGGACAATGAACATGGCTGTTGGCAATCTAATCTTCCTACTTCTAAGCTACCTCATCAAAAAGATACACTTGGAAGATACAGCATACGAGTTTTTGATCAGCGGGCTTCTGATGTTGATCATCTCAATCGTCTTTATTTTTCTGGCTCAATTCTATTATAGCTATGTCGAGGAGGATGCTGACTGCTGAGAACTGGTGAATAAAGTTGATTTCAGCCTTATCTCAGCATCTAGTTACCTATTTTGGCCATGAATCTACGAACCTTTTAAATCGAGGAAAATTCCAAAAGTTCATCTCATTTTAGTCAGAATTGATTAAAAAAATCGCTTTTCCAAAGCAAAAACCACTGTCTATCATACCCCAACAAACCCCGTCTACTCCATGCTCTCCACACAAACCACTTGCGCATCAATTAACACACCATTCCACCCAAAAATCCCCAAATTTCATCAGATATCCCATGTACAATACAGGGTGTCCAGAGAAATGTGCCGGAAAGTTTTTGTCGATTTCTTGGCGCTCAATCAAGATATCCGAAAGATTCTTTTTGCAGGATAAAGAAGAATATGGGCGGTTTTTTGTGCAAAAGAATCATTTTCTCCGCCAGCGCGGAAGGCAGTGTATTCGGCGGAGACTTTTGATAGCTTTTTTGATCATCACACCAACTTTAAACGCTTTATTATGAACTTCGATGGTTGAAACAAAGATATTTGCATATTTTCATGTTTACCAAGTGTTTGGCGAAGGTATGGCGGACGCTCGCCGAATCGGCGGAGGCCATAACTCAGCTGCGGACAAGACATGGTCCAACACAATTTTTATGGCCTGGCTAGAACACCCTGCTGGCTTCGTATGCCTTCGAAAATTTTTTTCACCAAGCTTTGGAAGAAGCCAAGCCATCGGAAAACCACTGGGCGCACCAGAAAACAACAAAATATTTTTTGTTCAAATTTCCTTTTGCCTTGCTGTTTCAAACCTCCGCACGGTGCACTCGGACTTTATCGGTGTTGCAGCGACAGGCTGCACCGTGCAGTCGCTATATGGGATCGCATTGCGATGTCGCTGTCTGTGTGATTTATTGCGTCAAAAATTTGAAGACTTTCCGGAAGTTTCAGCATCATAATAATGCGTTTAAAATTGGTGTGATGGCCAAAAAAGCGATCAAAAGTCTCCGCCGAATACACTGCCTTCCGCGCTGGCGGAGAAAATGATTCTTTTGCACAAAAAACCGCCCATATTCTTCTTTATCCTGCAAAAAGAATCTTTCGGATATCTTTATTGAGCGCCAAGAAATCGACAAAAACTTTCCGGCACATTTCTCTGGACACCCTGTATAACACTTGCCGAATCCGAGCATTTTCCTAATCATTTATCACTTTACCACACATAAAAGCCTTGGAAATGAAATAGACAAACTTTCAAAATACTGAAGAAATAGACGTTTCAAGGTTGTGAACCGTTTCGCGGGGCTACCCATATCAGACTTGGTATCTTGGAGATGAGCGGGAGAGAAAAGTGCAAAGAAAAAAATGGCTGAGATTTCGGATTATTGGATCGAATGTCACCTGTACGACAAGAATGCCATCTAAACTCGTGTTTTGGCTATGACATTTAATACTGAGGAGATCTGAGATCAAGTACAATAGAAAAAAAGAGAGAGCTAAAAGAAGTGAGAGAATGGATGTTGGCTACCCGATGGTGCGGTAAAAAATTGTAAGGCATAATTGGGGAGAGCAATACCGGGTTTATTAAAGGCTCAAATTAGTGGGGTTTGAGTGCGAGTTGTCGCGTTCGGGTCGTCGTCCGCTTCGCTCATATCGTCGTAGGAGTCGAATTCACTTGAATCGTCTGAAATTTAAGCTCATAAATAATTGTACTATCCCCTGGTAGCCCTAATCAGCCATAAAATCACTTAAAAACACGAAAAAAACAAAAAATTTCCAAAATTTCGATAAAAATTATATTATCCATGGCAAAAAGCGGTCTTAAAATCAATATAAAGGCATGACGAACTTGTCAAAACTACCCTAAAGCTTTTCTCATTTACTACTCTATCCAATGACATCAAAATCTCACACAAAATTATTCAAAATCATCAAGACTTCATCAAATTTACACATTCTCCCTTATCGTCTCATACCCCCAAACTTTTCACTTACAATCATCATCCATCCAGTCCTCATCAAAGACCGACACATCCGTCAGCGATCCGCCATGTTTCCGTCCCGGAATTTTCGAGATTTGAGCGGCCAAATCAGTGAACGAGTTCCTCATCGAGTGGGCCCGTTCCTTTCTTCTCGTCCTCCTCGTCAGCGACTTCAACGCGTCCGGATTCATGACCGACTTCACATTCTCATTGTTCTGGACCAGTTCTCCAATCGCTTGTTCCGCGTACTCGAATCCGGCCTGCAGAATTTCATCAAATCGATTAAATTCCAACGTCTTGTAGGCATCAATCGCGGGCCTCAGATAGTGACAATATGGCGCTTTTTTGACCTGTTCCAGTTGTCGGACACATGAAACAAAGGCCAATCTTGTCTGGATCTCCTCCATATTCAAGATGGAGATCGGTTCCGAGAAGGGGTTCAATTTTTTCATTAGCACCCAAAACCCGCTCAACGAGTCTCCATAATTGTACAAATTCGTCTCTGACGCCGAGCCCACGTCACACGCGAGGACACATTTCGCTCCCATCGAGCGCATGACATCTGCGGGGAGGTTGTTTACATATCCTCCATCCAGGAGTAAGTGTCCATCATGGGGGTCACAGAGCGGTGGGAGATAGCCGGCTAGTGACATGGAGGCGCGAACGTATGCCCAGAGGGGTCCTTGTCGGTGGACTCGCATCTCGGAGGTTCTGAAAATGGTCAGGATGTACATTTAGACATCAAAAAAAATTTTTGAAGGCAAAATTAAAAAAAAAATTTTTTTTTTTAATCTCAAAAATTTCCAAAGTCATTTTTAAAATTAGTGTCCGAAGCACTCAAAAGTCTTTGAAGTGCCTCTATATACCTTAAAAATACGTTTAAAATACGCGAAAGCAATTTTTGCATTCAAAAAAATCCAAGAAAGCCTTCACAATACCAAAAAATCCCAAAAATTTAAAAAAATCTCTCCTCAAAAAATCCCAAAAATTAAAAAAAAAATCCCCGAAAATCCCAAAAATTCAAAAAAAAATCCCCAAGAATAAAAAAAAATCCCCAAAAATCCTAAAAATTCAAAAAAAAAAAAAAAAATTCCTCAAAAAAATCCCCTCTACTTACGAAATATCCGTTGTGATGCAATAATAAGGCAACCACATGTCTTCGATATTCCTTTCGCCAAACAGTTCCTGCAGAGTCTTATTGAATCCGACGCCAGTGAACATGGCCGAATACGCGTATGTCAGGTCCATAATCTTTCTCCACAGAACACACATCGTCTACAACAAAAAAATTCAAAATTAATCCAATTGAAACTCAATTCCCTACCGCAAACCATCCTCGAACCCTTTGCTCGGCGTCTTTAGACGGGTTGTCCGCAAAAACGCCGCCAATCATGGCGCCGATCGAGGTGCCGCCCACAATATCCACCGGGATTCCGTGTTCGCGGATCGATTTGATGATGCCGATGTGGGCGGCGCCTCTGGCGCCACCTCCGCCCAGCACCAATCCCACCGCATTTCCGGTCAGGCAGCGGCCCAATCGGGCAAAGTCCGAGTTGAAATCGAGGCGTTTGCTGAAGACGTGCTCCTCGTAGAAGCGGATCACCTCCTTCTCGTCCACGTTCCAGTTCCACTTGAACATTCGGGAGTTGGCGCGCACATGGCAATGGCCGCTGAACCAGGAGCCCTTCAGCCAGTTGTAGGTGCCGGTTGGCTGTTCGAACTCCTCTTTCCACAGGAGAACCAGCTCTTTCCGGGTTCGAATTCCGTCTTGACTCATTTTTAGGTGGTCTTCAATCTGCAAAAAAATTTTTATAAAACCAAAAAAAAAAATTTTTTTGAAAATGGAGTGCAAAAAAAATTTGCAAATTTTCAAAATTACAGTAACCAAAAGACTCAAAAAATCGTAATAAAAGCAAATTATAACTTCAATTTGATTATTGTTCCCCCAAACCTTAAAAAAAAACTTTTTTCTTTGCACAGTGCAAAAAAATCTTAAAAATTTTCAAAATTACAGTAACCAAAGGACTCAAAAAATCGTGATAAAAGCAAATTGCAAACTTAATTTGACTATTGTACCCCAAAACTTTTAAAAAAAATAATTTTTTCTCATCGTGCAAAAATTTTTCCAATCAAAAACGCCCGACGTCGTATTTTACAACCTCAAAATCAATTTCACCATTTCTCAAATTCCTTTTCATTTCTTTCCCATCCGATCCGCCCTATCCACCTCTCCCAATCCAACTTACAAACTGTTTCTTCGGAGGCTTCACTTGTCCCAGGCCAACAAAAAGGATGCAATCCGCCTGCCTCAGACACCTTCTTGTCCAATTCGTTGCCGTATAATCGCATTCATAAATCACCAGTGGGTACGTATCCTCTTGAGCGTTCAGCCAGTGCATCAACCGAAAATCGGCCTGTTTTTCCAGTACGCTTTCGCCCAGAGTTTGGGCGATCTGTTTCGAGCTCAGCCTCAAAACTCGGGTCGAGGCGCTTAGAGCGTGATACAATTCGCATGTAAATGCGGTCAGTGGGACATCCAGGGAGGCTGGCATCACAGCGACAGTGTGGAGATTTTTCAGCTGGCTCATTGGGTCCGTTGAACTCGAATCCATGTAGGCGGCGTGCGCCGGGGCCATCGAAATGGGGCGTTTGGAGTCGCTGAAGAACTGGCCCAGAAGGCGGACCAGGCGGAATCCCACCTGAAAACATCAAAATTATTATAAATTACAAATAATTCTAAATTTTGAGACTATAAGAGATCAAATTTACCTTACTTTAGACATTAAAATCCAAAAACAAAAAAAAAATTTTTTTTGATTTTTTCAAAAATTTTCTTCAAAAAATCATGACAAAGCCTTAAAACGCGTTTTATTACAAATCGTAATTTGGCCCGGACATTGTTAAAATCAGTGTCTCAGAATTGAACGAAAATTGGTCAACTTAATCACTGATAGGCACAAAACATTCGCTTTCTTTGTTTTTGCCCAAAATTACCGTATGACGGCATACTGTAACATCATTTTAAAAAAAAGATATGCCCTAATCGAGAAAACGAAGCGCTATTTCAGCGCAAATTGAGTTCAGGTATATGTTTTCGATCATGTAGAACATTTTTGTAATTGTCACCGAAAACTAAAAATTACATCTAAGCTATGTTACACTTGAGACAACATACCATTTCGGGTATAAAAAATGCAGTTCGGACGAGGCGCAGATTTTGAAACCGGAATACTAAACTTCAAGCCTCGTCTAACAAACCATAAAAATTTCAGAAAGATCAAATATATAGTTTTTGAGATATCGGACATTCAATGTCTCATGTGCAAGATCACCTTGACCCGGAAAAAATCTGGCATTCTTAGGTTTTTGGCTAGGCGCAGATTTTGAAAGTTTCCAATGCATTTTTATGAGATTTTAGGAGGATATAGAAAGTTTCAGAGGAAAAAAATGAATAGTTTTTGAGAAATCGTCCAAAATACCTTGTTTTAGGTCATCAGATGCCCGAAAAAATCTGGCATTCTTAGGTTTTTGGCTAGGCGCAGATTTTGAAAGTTTCCAATACTTTTTTATGAGATTTTAGGATGATACAGGAAGTTTCAGAGGAAAAAAATGAATAGTTTTTGAGAAATCGTCCAAAATACCTTGTTTTAGGTCATCAGATGCCCGAAAAAATCTGGCATTCTTAGGTTTTTGGCTAGGCGCAGATTTTGAAAGTTTCCAATACATTTTTATGAGATTTTAGGAGGATATAGAAAGTTTCAGAGGAAAAAATGAATAGTTTTTGAGAAATCGTCCAAAATACCTTGTTTTAGGTCATCAGATGCCCGAAAAAATCTGGCATTCATAGGTTTTTGGCTAGGCGCAGATTTTGAAAGTTTCCAATACATTTTTATGACATTTTAGGAGGAAATAGAAAGTTTCAGAGGAAAAAAGTGAATAGTTTTTGAGATATCGACCATGGTGAACCTGTTATAGGTCAAGTTGCTGGAAAATTCGACCAATTTTCTTCGGCATCTCTTTTTTTCCGAGATATATGTGTGTGTTACAGTTTTTTTTTCCAAATTGTCACAAATAAATTCGAGCTCTCTGCAAAACTTTTGTCAAATGTACGCCGATGGCTACGATTCTGTGTTCTGATGACCTAAAACAAGGTATTTTGGTCGATTTCTCAAAAACTATTCATTTTTTTCCTCTGAAACTTTCTATATCCTCCTAAAATGTCACAAAAAAGTATTGGAAACTTTCAAAATCTGCGCCTAGCCAAAAACCTAGGAATGCCAGATTTTTTCGGGCATCTGATGACCTAAAACAAGGTATTTTGGTCGATTTCTCAAAAACTATTCATTTTTTTCCTCTGAAACTTTCTATATCCTCCTAAAATCTCATAAAAATGTATTGGAAACTTTCAAAATCTGCGCCTAGCCAAAAACCTAAGAATGCCAGATTTTTTCCGGGTCAAGGTGATCTTGCACATGAGACATTGAATGTCCGATATCTCAAAAACTATATATTTGATCTTTCTGAAATTTTTATGGTTTGTTAGACGAGGCTTGAAGTTTAGTATTCCGGTTTCAAAATCTGCGCCTCGTCCGAACTGCATTTTTTATACCCGAAATGGTATGTTGTCTCAAGTGTAACATAGCTTAGATGTAATTTTTAGTTTTCGGTGACAATTACAAAAATGTTCTACATGATCGAAAACATATACCTGAACTCAATTTGCGCTGAAATAGCGCTTCGTTTTCTCGATTAGGGCATATCTTTTTTTTTAAATGATGTTACAGTATGCCGCCATACGGTAATTTTGGGCAAAAACAAAGAAAGCGAATGTTTTGTGCCTATCAGTGATTAAGTTGACCAATTTTCGTTCAATTCTGAGATGCCGATTTTAACAATGTCCGCCCTCTGTTAGGCTAAGCGCCAAAGTGCGGCAAAACGCGTTTTAAAACAACAAACTTATTACAAATTACAAGTAATTCTAAAGACCTAGAAGAGGTCAAATTTACCTTATTTTAGACACCCATACCCCAACAGCAAAAAAATTTTTTTTTTGATTTTTTCAAAAATTTTCTTCAAAAAATCATAGCAAAAACCTTTTTTTCAGAAAATTTTCCCCATCAAAACTTCAATTTCAGCCTTTAAATCAAACAAAAATTTCTTCTTTCACATTATTTTACACATTTTTTGTTCAAAACCTCAAAATTTTTCGATTTCTAAAAGCCTTTCCAAAAATACCCCTCACAGATCTCTAAACCAACATAATGGGAGATAATAATCAATCCTCCCTACCTGTGGATACTGCATTTTGACGAAATTGAGCAGGCCCTCAGGAACCCTCGCCAACTGCGAGTATCTCACAGCCAGCACCGTGGTTTGTCTTGGCTTTCTTTGCAAAACTTCCAGCATTCCCAATGCATCGCCTCTTCCAAACTCTTCAATGGCCGTATTCTTATCAACCGACCGCAATCGTCCGCTCAGCACCACAAACAAGCTTTCGGCCAAATCTCCCTGTCTGTAGACGGCTTGTCCCGAGTCCAGGAGGACCCAATCGATGGCAAAGTCGACGGCTCGCACAAAGGTTGAGAGTCGTCGATGCACCCAGAACGCGACCGGAAGACAAATTTTCGGGCGAAGTTCGAGCAGATCGGAGAATGCTGCCCTGTCCAGGGCGGCCACAGTGGTTGGTCCGACCGTGCTGATGTTGAAAAATGATGGTTCGTTGGTTAGGAGCTGAAATGAAAAATTTAGGAACCGAAAAATATTTTCTTGCCTAGTACAATATAATCAGGGTAAAACTGCAAAATTTTTCGTCAAAACAACTTTTTTCAAAATCTCCATTAGTTTTTCAGCCTATATACTTGGCTTTTCCAAATTTTCCGACCAAAAATTATATTATCCATGACAAAAATTATCCCAAAAATTACCAAAAATCTTCTCAAATCCCCTCCAAATCCTACCTGAAGTCCTCCGACTAGCTCTCTAGGCTGAACCAATGCAATATAAGTCTCATCGTTCTCATTATCTTCATCATCATTCTCTTGAGTGACTTTCAGGCCTCCATGAATGACCAAAATAAGTTGTGAGGTATCAACTGACGCCTGCTCAACGAGTACTTTACCATCTTCATAGTGTTTTATCGTAAGTCTGCCGGTCAAAAGTCGTTGAGCATCCGCCTGTGGGAGTTGGAGGGCTTCGCCAAACCATTTCACGGCCGTGTTCTGGAGCTCGTTTTGGTCTGAAATACTCAATAAATACCTGCAAAAACTCATTTTTGTCACTAAAAACAACTCTACTGACTACAGCAGGAACATCAAGCGTATAAATCGACCAAAAATATTATTTTAGACAAAAAAACTCCAATTTTTTTTTATATTATTAATAAACTTCGTATTTTACCAAAACCGCAAACTCAAAATAATAGAAGCAACCGTATTACGTGCTCAGACAACGAATGGCAACAACACTCCATCAAAAACGAGACAAAAATCACCAATAAAAATCATCAGCTGCCATGGATAATATCGCTGCTCCGAAGCGCTTGAAAAATCCAAAAAATCTCGGTCAGAAGCAACCACAGACTCTCTAATATCCCACAAAACATAATTCACAACGGCTTGAACTCATATAACACTTAGCATGTTCCCACAACAACACTTTATATTACCCATCACACCTAGAACTAACCCTCAATAATTGGGATTTCGCGGAGTCGGCGCGAATCCCTTCGGCTTAGCACCACCGAGGACTCATCGATGGAAGCGCAATGCATCAGCGGACCGCGCATTTTCGTTAAAAGCGCTGTAAATAGAGGCTTGAACCAAGGATTGTTAATTGAAAGGAGAGATTATGGAAAGAGAAGCAACATGGCCGGGTTTGAAGGGTTATAACTAAATTTTTAGGGCTAAAATCAAGGCTAAATTAGATGCCATTCTCTTCGTTAGATAAAACAATATCTAATCATTGCAAAAAATCTTATTTTCTTGGCAAAAAATCATCAAAATTCCTTCAAACAACCCAGGCTGCCTCAGATGTCTAAAACAATATAGAAACCATAGCCAGAGTGCAATAAACAGATTGGAAATAACTCAGAGCCTCATAAACAGTCTTATCGTATCATAGATACTGTAAAAATCCAATAAAAAATGTCGTAATCAACTCAAAACCCGCTTCCAACTCACCATCACTGCTGCTCATCCGTCGCTGACGGAGCTGTGGGCGATGCTTGTTCCCTCGGACGGACTGACCGGAAATATGACGGCCTCTATCGTCAAATTTGTCGTCCAGTTTCTGAAAACCGTAATTGATATGCAAACAAAAGCCGGCCGATCCGTATTTTACGAAAAAAACTCAAAAACTTACCCTCTTCATCAACTCCTCGCCAAGTCCCAGATGTTGATTTAAAGTGGTCAACGTGACTTGGAGAAGGCGAGTGCAGATGATTTGAATGGGCCTGGTCCAAATATAGGGTCGTTCCTTAAAGTCTTGATGGAATTTGTGGAAGGAATAACTGAAATCAAAAAGTTATACAGCTTTATATTATTCATGACATCTGGTGGTGGCCAAATTTTTAAAAAATCGATTTTTCGAAAAATTTCTGGTAAAAAATCAAGTAAAAAGTGGTTCAAAAAAAATTTTGACTCTCAAATCTTCCAAAAAAATGGAAATAATAAAATCTAGTCATCTAAAAATTTCAAAAAATCGCTTACATTGCAATTCTGCTGGCATCATTCGCCTTGACCGAAACAGTTTTGAACTTGCTCGGAGACTCCATTAGAATGTCCAAAAGTGACAATAACGAAAAAAAGCTCTGTCCAGGATCAATCCTCTTCACCATGACCATTTTCCCTTCGCATGGCGAAATATAAACCGACAATGATCCTTGCAATACCACGATAATCGAGTCATCCGCATCACCGGGCTGCAGAATGATCTCATCGTCTTTGACGTCGCGGATTTTGATGTCCGACTGTTTTAGAGGCCAATCTTCGGGGAGTTCGAGCATACTGAGGTTGTGTTTTAGGTAGAAGAGTTCGGGGGACATGTCGGAGGGGACTGCTGGACGAGCTGAGGGCTCGAAAAACTCTTGTGGAGGCTTTGGCAAGACTCCCCGAGTCTCACTCGTTTGACGGCGATAGGATCGGCCGCGGAAGAAACTAAAGTAATATAAGGTTATTAAGATAATAAAATTTCAATTATTTACATTCAATACAGCCTCTAATGTTTTTAAAAAACGTTTGCAACATCAATAGATAAAAAAATCCAGGAAATAATAACAAACCCAACAACTTTTATCTAAAACAAGGTCCAAAGCTCATGAGCAATATAAAAATTTCCAGAAAGTCTTCTGCAAACAAACAAACAAACGTATTCAGTCCAAAAAACAGCTAAATCATACCATAAAACTATCAATAAACAACACCCCACCCCAAATTGCAACATTCATCTTACTCTTTTGCAGCTCTCGCGAAATTCATCGGCCCACTCGCCGAATGTCTCCTCCTCCGTACCGGCTGACCGTTGTTCGACGGAGTCGAGTTCTCATCGCTGGATCGACTGCCATCGTCCTGAATAATATTCGAATACATTCGTTTTATCGCTCGTTTAATCCGCCGTCTCCTCGAGCCGCGAGGCCGTTCCACTTCGCTGGTGAGGTTGGAATTGGAGGGCGAGGGTGAGATCTCTGCTTCATCTTGAGATTCCGGGGGAAATACTGAAAAAATGGGGAGAAATAAGCGATTTGCGGGGATTTTTTGATATTATCCATGGCAAAGATAAACTCACACCATGCAACCAGCTTGGAAATCAAGAAGGAGCCGGCAAACGCGACTAAACATGCGAATGAGAGGCATGCTGCTACTACAAGAATCGTTGGCACCTGAAAACATCTCAAAAGTTATATTAATCATGAGGTATTTGATCTGATCTCAAAAATAAGGTATAACCAAGTAAAAATCAAAGTAACGTTTAAGACTCCAAGTATAAAAGGAAGCTAACAGTCTAACAAAGCTATCTAACAACTTTTTAGACAGTCATAACACCAAACAGAACAAAAAATAACTTATCCATGACAACCTTGGTGTAAAACATCAAAAAACGTCAAAAAAGAGGTCTAAAATTAAAACAAAAAGAAAAAATAGTCAACTCAGACATCCGCAAAGCTCGTCACTCACCTCTGCAGCCGAATCAACAACCAGTGTGTATATACCCATCATGAAGCGTCATAAAACCGTTTTGGAACTGACTCGCCGAGAAGACCACCGATTCTTGGCGTGGAACTGGTGTAAAATGCGGAAACAATTGGAAACGGTCGTCAATAGGGACGGCCGAGAGATCTTGGAGGATGGATCGCGGTCTTCTGCAAAAAACGGATATTACACTAGACGTCAGATAAAGATTTGTGTAAAAGGCGGTCACGTGGGATAAAATGAAAAGTACAATTGAAAAAAACGACTGATAAACAAGTCAAGATCCTTGATCTTCTTCAGAAATCCACAGGAATGCAGGATTTCGCAAATTTTTTGACAAAGAGACTATTTTTGTCCAAGAAATGGGTCAGCTCGACGGAAATCCGAGAAGATCAAAGAATCTCTCGGAAATTAGCGGAGAAGACAAGTTGGCGAGTATTTTTAGACTGTTCATTAACCGAAAGAACGAGGAAAAGTAAAGAAAAAGCAAGTTTTTGGGCTTTTTATGTTGTACTAGGCAGCTCTGACGTCCCACTCCAAAAATAACCCCAAAAAATCGGTAAAATCCCGATTTTGAGTATCCTGGAGCAACACGCCACGAGCGTTAGTCCCTCCCACCACCCTCACATCATCAAACATTCCGGCTGAATCCCCACTTCTGACACAAAACGCAGCATCGGCGGACGTGTAAACACAAGTGCACTCATCGATTATTCCGGCGGTTTAAAGTCACAGAAAACAGATGGTACCGCAGCGCTTACCATCCGCTAAGGGACTATGAGGCTCGAGTGCAACTTGAGGGCGGTTGGGATATTTTTTGAGGTTGTTTTTCTTGCCAACTTTTCTTGTTTTAGGTTGTTATTGGCATGGGGACGAGAAACGGGGACCGGAAGAGAGGGAAATGAAACTTTATTGGGTGAATTATGTCACCGGCTGGTAGAAGAGGACTCGAAGACGGGTAGGAGTGGGTACGAAGGGTGAGGACGGAAGTAAAAGTGATGATTTTTGAGAAATCTTACAATGGGAACATCAGATAACTAAAATAAGGTCAGAAGTCAGTTAAATATGAGGCTTGTTTCTTTCATCATGTAAAAATAAGCCCTCTGGGGATATTAGATATCATATGCTTTGTGTTTCTGTTCAAAAATACACTGAGAAATCTTAAATTTTGAAAATGATATTACCTTAGGTCATCAATGTCAAATTTTTCAAATTTTGCCCTAAAATTGCCCTCAAAACAACTGAAAGTGCTCTCACACCCACTTGATGAACCTTGAAATGTCCAAATTTTCCGGAAAGCACACGTTCATGTCAAACATGACATGAGAATGTCAAAAAACACGCCAAAACGTCTTTGAAAAAATGTGATTAAGCATTAAAACATGAAATTTTTTTATCATTCCCAATGTTCCAGGAGCTTAAATAGCCCCAATTGTTCGAGGAATTTAATTAACGCTCCCTCAGATTATTTGTTTTATGTTTTAAATACACATGCACCTTTAAACGTCTGATGATAAGAAATTTATCGTGAATTGTCATTGTTGGGAGGCCAAACATGGTGCACAGATGGAGAGATAGACGTGTTTCGTCTCAAATGAGTATTGGCTCAGATTTTGGGAGCTCAATTTCAACGAATTCATCAAAAAAGAACGTGTGAAATTTTGAAAAAGACCATAAATGTCAAGGTTCATTTCTTAGCGATGGATGGAGGGAAACGAAAGATTTTTGGCAGTAAAAAAGCAGATATACAGTAGATATATTGAGTAAAATATTGAGGAAACAACAGGACTGCTAAGTGAGTTACACCCGGTTTTTGGACATGGCCTTTTAAAAAAGTCAAAATTCCAAACAATAGCCTATTTTTAGTCAAGCAAAATTAAAAATTGTAATGTTCACCACTCTAAGCTAACTGCCTATTAACGTATGTCGTATTTTACAGCTCCATTCCCTTCATTAATACCCGGAACACAAAGAAAATTGCTCATTTCAGACTTCAAAACACACAAAATGCGGCACGCAAACGCGAAATAAAGCCAGTTACTTGGGAATTATTAGCGGAAACATCTAGAACTTTGGAGTCTTATCCAAACGAACGGCGATAATAAAACCTAGGCGAAAATATCATCAGGGTACAAAGGTTGCGCGGATCAAAACACGAAAAAATTTGTGGTGGATGACATAATAGGGCATAAATTATACATGTTACGTAATTGGGTGCAAAATTATCAAAAAATATTTTTTTGAAACTGGAAACAAATTACATCTGTGAACAATAGACAGTCTTTGATCGCATTTTTCATCGAAAAATTGCGAGTTTTTGAAAGAAAAATAAAGAAAAAAGGCAAAAATGTAAGAATTATCATCATTTTCCACAAAAAATGGCTTGAAAAATGGCCAAAGCAACCTAAATCATACCAAAAAAGAAGTAAAAATAAAAATTCATCCTTTTCTTTATACAGCCCGCTATATACGGCTTGGAAATGCCTTCCAAATGTGAGTAAAAAACCGCAAAGAAACGTAAAAAAGAGGGTGGGTTTGGCGCCCGCCGAAATTCGAAATGACTCTAAAAAATATCTCCATTCGAAATCCACGAAAAAGTAAATAAAAATGGGGGGAGAAAGTGTCGGGAACCCATACAAGAATATGCATTCTTTGCCCTCCAATTAAGCGCTCTCGAAAATGGAGCGGAATCTAATCGGCTTTCACTTTTACTGTTTATTGTAGTATCTATTAGTCGGGTAAAAAATGGAGTTTTGAATGGACGGGTGGGAAATTGGTGGGGGAGATGAGACCCTAAGGGAAAATGGACATAAAGGGGGAGGGGAGTGGGATTAATTGGTCATTATTTGAGGGTTCATGGCCGGAAAAAGGCTGGGTAATTGTCAGTAATGGCCAGAGAATATTGCAAAAAAGAGTTTCAGTTGTCAGTCTGTAGGGAAAATAATGAAAACTCTGTCGCACCGAAAATCGCCGCCTGGAAAATGAATTGTGTCGCAGTGAAATCAAATTGCTTTTCGCTTCACCGACATGATTGGCACAGCGGCATTGTGCTCATTATTTTTCCGACAGACCGATAGATAATGCTATATAGCAACGTCTTCTTCCGACTTTGCCAACAAATACTTTTATAGGTTGATTTCGTCAGCGACATCTCAGTTCTAAGACTTAGAGCACGTGTACAAATAGTGACTATCGGATTGTCTTCAAAATTTGTCTTCTTTTGAGGTATATCTTTTGACGCTGTCAGGAATCTCTTTTGTCATTTCTAGTAATCTAACCAAAGCTAGCATAAGTCTTCTTTTAAACCCAGCAAGAATTAGCCACTACCCTTCAAGACGTCTCTCGAAACTCCTCGAATTCAAAAAAGCCTTTACTTTTATAGCCCTAGACATTTACATAACAACATGCGAAGCCTCGGCGTTTCTTACGTAAGAATCCTTCATTTCTTTGAGTTTGTTTTGACTGCGGTCCGAAGTATGCAACTTCAAGGTACGCCTACTATTGCCAAATCGTCTTTCAAAAAGCTACGATAACAGTAGCAACAAATGATGCATCAAAATGGAGTAACAATCTTTTTTTATGACCATATACGTTTATGTTAAACAAAAAGAAAGGTTTTTAGAGCGTCTTTTATTGGAATTTTTGGAGAACGATGTATATTTTTATGGCAAAACCGATAAAGAACTCAAAATAAGGCGGTAAAAATTCAGTTAGGTACACGGGAGAATACGTAGTTGGCATGAATACGATGTAATAAATTCAAAAATAGATAGATAATAGGGCACTTGGGGGCGTTTTTTTGAAGGCATTAAGAAAAATGCAATATATAACGGTTTAATACGATTTTTGACAAAAAAAAATTAGAGTAAAATACGGTGGTAAAAAGGTAAAATACGAAGCATTATTTCTCCTTTTTCAAAAAATAGAAAAAAATTTTTTTGAAAAGTCATCAAAAATTTAATTTTTTGCCTAAAAAATGCTCTGTTATAAAGTTTTATACGTGTATCAATGAAAGTTCAAAAAGACATGTTTAACTGTCCGTGTTATCAAAACATTGAACGTCACGGGTTCGCAATGGGAACGGACGATATTGTTTGGTTTATGAAGTCATGCGAAACCGCAAGGATCATAAATCTGACGAAACGCTCAAAAAATAAGACAAAACACAACGAAAGATGCCTTTCACAGCGTTCTGTACTTTTTTGGAATGATTCCGACACCGATTTTTTCGAATTTTTCTAAAATAGCCCGCATTTACGCGGGTGTCGCGAGGGAACACTGTAAGATTGACGTGTAAAATTTGCAGTGCTTATAGAGTAAAGAGAGATCTTTCCAACGATACAACTTACGTAAATTAATATGGAAAAAGAAATTTGTAATCAACGCTGAAAAATGACCGACTTTGGATTTTCGGCGCTAAAGATTGCCCTTAGGCAGATCTTTTAGAAGAAGTGGATGGTACCACCGTATGCGGAATTTAATTCTCTACAACATATCCAAAAACAACAAAATTTTACTGCTTTTCCGTCGAATTATGCATCAAAAATGAAATTTTTGCACTAGTTTTACCAATATTTTTAAAATATTTGCACTTTAAGGGCATTATTACAAAAACAAAGTCGTACATATTGAAGCTTGCATGCTAACTGACAGAACTGTTTAATTTTAACCTGTCATCTTTCTCCATCTTCAAGAACAACGGAGCTAAAGTTTGGTGCTTGGACGCCGCATAAAAATGCCCTAAGGGCGAATTTCAAAAATGCGATAGTGACACTGAACGTAGAATAAGCGTTCAAACAGCCATGCTCAAAAGGCAACGGTTCAATTCTTTCTTCTGTGACTGCTCCGAGAAATCCATGCAACATCATGAACGCGTAAATGTGTTCATGAGGCCACCGATGTTTCAAACTATTCCGGAAACTCCCGACGTTGATTGTTTCATCAAACTTGGAGTACCTGTAGTATAAAAAATTCTACGTTCAGTGGCACTACCGCATTGTTGAAATTCGCCCTTAGGGCATTTT